AAGACTCAGATGGTTCGGGCACATTCAGAGGAGGAGCACTGATGCACCGGTGAGGATGTGTGAGCAACTGGCTGTAGTGGGCACGCGGAGAGGTAGAGGAAGACCTAAGAAGTATTGGGGAGAGGTGATCAGACAGGACATGGCGCGACTTAGGATTACTGAGGACATGACCCTTGATAGGGAATTATGGAGGTCGAGCATTAAGGTTGAAGGTTAGGGGAGAGTGTGAATATTTCTACAGCACAATAGAGGGAGACTATCCAGTTAGGAGTTAGACTAGGAATGTCATTGGTCGTCTATTGATGCAGGGCTTTACCTTCTAGTTGTACTATACCAGCCATCTATTTCGTATTTCGTATTTCGTATTTCGTATTTCGTATTTCGTATTCTGTATTTCATATTTCATATCTCTTATATATTGTTGTTATTTTTATTACGCATTTTTATGGTACTAATATATCATCTCCTATTGCATTTTTGAGCCGAGGGTCTCCTGGAAACAGCCTCTCTACCCTTCGGGGTAGGGGTAAGGTCTGCGTACATATTACCCTCCCCAGACCCCACTTGTGGGATTATACTGGGTCGTTGTTGTTGTTGTTGTTGTTGTTGTTGTTGTTGTAGTACTGGAATGTAAGGTCAAATTTCTGTTGCGCCCAAATTTCCTGTATATTGGGCTTCACCAGTTGACTGTTGTTTCCATTTGATGCCACTACACAATTGGTACAGTGACACATCTCTATAACAACATCCTTATATAATAGTCACTCACTATAAAAATCAAGTTTTTCTCGGAACTGATTTTTTAAGTTATATTTTATATCTCTATAACAGCTTCTTACCTATAACATCAACAATTATATTTATAGCAGAAGCTCTTTGTAAAATTACACATTTATAACATCCATATAGAATCTTTAAGATTACTCTCTTGTCCATTAAATAAAGTTTCTATCTTGCATAAAATATAAGATTTGAAGATTTGCACATGATATCTTTTCCATTTGATAAATTCTAAAAAATATTTAAATTGAAAATTTAACTGCTAAGCTCTTAGATTGTCTTCAATGAAAAATTATTGGATACCTTTTTGCTGAAAATTTGGATATGAATCTTCGCCAATTCAAGCGTTATATCGCTAGTAAGAGAACAAAATCTACGAAACAAGCTACAATTACAAAGTTCTTCCATCAATCTTAAAAAAAATTATTTTTAGGTACCTTTAAAATGTCTGCCTTAGAGTTTCAATCTTTATACTTTTAGTTAAGAATTTATTAATAATGTATTTGCTTTCTCAATATTTAACTAGTGAAATATGCATATCTTTTGAGATTATAAATTTGAATAATTTTCTTATTTCTTTATACGTAACATTAAAAAAGAAAATATAATTAATTTTTGGTTATTTTTATCTATAATAACCAAAAAATATTTAAACGTCAAATATTTTTATAGGTGTCTAAAGCTCTCACTATAAAAGCCAAAAAATATCGGAACAAACGAGGTTGTTATAAAGAGGGTTGACTGTATATCATAGTATACTAAGATCGATTGCAATTTTTCATTCTGCTTTAGATTAATGTTGATAGAAGAAAGATAAATTCATACCAAACATCCCCTCACTCAATCGCTTAAACTAAAAATAGCTAGCGGATGTATAATATATGTATAATCTATATACAATATATGTATAATCTATTATAATCTATGTATACCGGCTGGAAAAAGAAAATAATGAATTTAGGCTGCTATTTCTATAAAAATCCCTAACTTAATAAGCAATACTAAAGTTGGTAAAATAATGACTCAAAACATGATTCAACTTTTTTCATTACTAGCACGAATACTACATTTGCTCTAACTTGGGAAATGTGCCATATTTCTCTTTCTGAATTTCTGTCCGGCGAACCTGTCCGGCATTACTTCCAATTTTAAATATGGGGGAAAAAGTTTTCTTTATTTCAGGGGATAAATCTTTTGAGCTTGTTAACATCGAAGATGTCCAGGTTAAATGGTTTTCTCTTACAAAGTGTGGTAGGCGATTCACAACTAGCATTAGCATTGACAAAAACAGTCTCATATGGGTTTGTGATGCTATGAAACAAGCATCAAGGGGGAGAGGAGACCTATACAGAAGATGGGGGAGGAAATAAGAACAATATTTTTACAGGGTATATCAAAATTACAATATATAAATGCAACAAAAATGCTCCCTACGAACATGAATACTCAGTGCCTGGAAACAACAACGCAAATTCCCCCAGAACCACCTGACATCTCACCAAAAACATTCACACACACACACACTGCAAAACAGCCCCCACTCAACTTTAAGGAAAATTTGCTTGCAAATGAAGAACAAATTGATTTGGAAATGGATCCCATTGACGATATACAAATGCAAGATTCAAGTACTGCAACTACTATCCAGCCACAAGAGAAGTTATCTCCATACGTTGGTGGAATCAAAGCAATTACACTCACAGACCAAGAAAAAGAAGCACTTAACTATCCATGGAAATTCTCCTTAATTATTAAACTCTTTGGAAAAAGAATAGTTCACTATTACTTAAAAGCAAAAATACAAGAGTTGTGGAAACCTACGGAACAATTCCCTCTAATAGATCTGGGCTATGATTATTACATTGTTAAGTTCACACAAGAAGAAAACATGCGGAAGGTACTCCAAAATCGGCCATGGTTCGTTAATGGACACTTCCTGTCGATTAAGCATTGGGAACCAAATTTTGTGGTTGCAGATGCCCAACAAACTATCTCTGCGGTTTGGGTACGATTGCCACAACTCCCCACGGAGTTCTATGATGAATCTTTACTGAGGAAAATTTGGAATTCTATCGGATCATTGCTAAAAATTAATGCTTGTATGAGTACCACTCTTAGAGGACGGTATGCTAGGTTGTGCATCCAAGTTCCATTAGAGGAACCCGTCACTACACGAAAACTTATTGGCTCACATTTGCAGCAAATAATATATGAAGGGGAGGGTTTTTTATGCAAACTATGTGGAAGGTTGGGCCACACAAGATCAAGATACCCGTATCAGGAAATCAAAGGCCATGATCAAAACAAATTGACCAACAACCAGCGTCTCATAAATCATGTACAAGAGGAAGAGTGAAAAACAGTGCTCTTTGGTAGGAAAAAGAGGCACAACAATAGGGTGAAGGCAAAAATGGAACAAGCCATGACTGCTACCCATCAAGAATATCCAAGTCCAGGTATAAACGTTAAGATTTATGCAGCAGACTCAGGTAAGTACCTCTCCTCTCAAAATCTTTCCTTCAAGGTTAAAAATAATGATTTTCATACCACCTTGTCCCAATCAATTAGCCTGGGAAAATGGACATAAACTACCAAGACACCTTGAATAAAAACCCTCCTAATAACTGCATCAAAAAGGGTATCGTTGACAACATGGGCATAATACAAGAAAGCTCCTTTAAAGAGAAGATCATTCTTGCCAACAAATTTAATGCACTCCACTCTCCTGATGAAGAAGATGAAGAGGTTGGTCCTAGACAACTACTTAAATCACATGTGGATGGCCAACGTGCTAGATCCCATAGCCTCAGCCCTAACACCCACGCTTTATTACAACATGAACTACCATTGGAACCTCCCCCCACACTTCAATCGCCCTCTCAACATGAACATTCCACAAATCTCCCATTCTTCTCCCCCACTAGAGATGACTATTGGCAATCCACTGATCTTTCCTTAGCAACCCTAGCAAACCCAGGACCTACCCCTCAATTAGAACCAAATAGATATCCCACCACCCCAAGAACAAGAAGAAATAGAGATGGAGGAAGAGATTATAGACCTTCCACTACCCACAAGCTCGTTCACCGAAATCTCAAACCTCAGAAAAGCAGCCCTTATGCTATTCCCGGAGAGAGGGGACAAAAAATTCATCTACAATTGCCCAATGGCACTCATGAAGTGCTCGTTCGATCTACGACCACCAGTGACAGAGCTGCTGCGAAATATATGATATTGCTAACCCCAACTCTGAGGGGAAGTCAGTTCTCAATGCAGGAGAACTAAGTCTCAATGCATCCCCGCAATCAAATGATCCTCATGAATAAACTTACGAGCTTTATTTTTTGGAACACAAGGGGGAAAACAATGAGACTTTCAGGAGGAATTTTAGGGACCTCATCTATAACCACACTCCATGCATGGTTGCCCTGTTGGAAACAAAGATGGAAGATCATGCAACCCTTAGAGACGATTTCCACTTTGATGACATGATGGAGGTCCCCACTCAAGGAAAAGCATGAGGAATTGTTCTCCTTTGGGTCACCAGCATGGTGACTGTTACTCGGCTTAGACAGTCTACTCAAGAACTTTATGCCATGATTTAAGTATATCCAAATTACCCCCCTTGGCTATTTAGTACCATATATGCTAGTACAAAAGCTGTAAATCGTAGAAAACTTTGGAAAAATCTGGAAAATATATCGACTAGCTATAATGGCTCTTGGATGGTTGCGGGGGATTTTAATGATATCCTTAGACAAGTAGAAAAGTTTGGAGGCAGAAGGATCAATAGGTCACGTTCCACTAGATTTTGTTCTTGCGTTAATTTTTGTAAGTTAATCGATTTATGTTTTAAAGGAAGTCGTTATACTTGGTCTAACCATCGTAGGAATAATAACAATTTACTTCTTAAAAGATTGGACCGTTGTTTTGCCAATGAAGAATGGCTTGTCAACTATCCTAATGTGTCCATCACACATCTACCAAAAACCTATTCTGACCATAATTCCCTTCTTATTAATACTAATAATGTCTTTAGACAATCTCCTAAGACCATTATAAAGTCTTTCCGTCTAGAAACTTACTGGTGCTCCCACCCTGAATTTGAGAATATAGTTAAAAAGAGTTGGAAACATAGGGAATTTGCTGAGACAACCTAATTCTTTACACATAACGTTACCTCCTAGAATAGAGAAACATCTGGTAACATCTTCTATAGGAAAAACAAAATTTTGGCTAGATTAAATGGTATTCAACGTTCACAAGCTTACACTACTAATACTTTTCTCCAATCCCTTGAAAAAACCCTTACCACTGAATACAATAACATTCTTCGATTGGAAGAGGATTTCTGGAAAATTAGGTCTAGAATTAATTGGTTGAATAATGGTGATGCTAACACTAGGTTCTACCACTTGTCCGTTGTCAATCATAGAAGAAAGAATGAAGTCTCTTTTTTAAGGATGACCATGGTAATTGGAATCCTAACCATGATAACCTTGTTAATCATACTAGTAATTATTTTAAAAACATATACACTACTAGTCACTCAAGTACTGATTGGAGTAATATTAAAATAACTCCTTCGAGTTTTCATAATATCGACCTCTCCCCTTTGGATAAACCCTTAATAGACAATGAGGTCACCCAAGCTCTATTCTCTTTTAACCGTTTTGTTACAACCCATATCCACATGTGCTAGTTCATGCCATATATTAGTTAACATAAATCCAAGAA